TAACTAATTCCTCAGTTTGGTTGCTGAATTGAAAGGATGAAAACCTCCGCAACTTGTTATCCACTACCAAAACAAAATCCAACATGATTTGCTTTATTCAAAGTTAATGCAATTTTTTCCTGTTCTTCATAAGGGCTTGACATTAATCACAGCAGACAAAACCACTGGAGGATTTCTGTAGGTGTCATCTTTTTGCTCAAATGTACAAGAGGTAGTACACATATCCAAAATGTGTAATGTCTAGATCAAATTGTTTTGAAGGAGAATCTGAATGCAGCAGAGAATTTGAACGCAAGACACCCTAAGCAGTAGTTCAAAGTGCAGTCAGAGTCATGGTATCTTTTGTTGACACATTTTCCATTTCTATGAATAGTTATTAATCAAATCTCTGACTCAGTGGTGACCCAGTTACTACACACAATGTTAAGGACATTGCCCTAAATTGCAGAAGACACTTAGAATGCAGATGCATGTGTATGCAGATATTTGCACACACAATTCAGCATTGCATAAGGAAAATTTAGCTAGCTGCACATGATCTGGTGAACATGTATGAAGGAACTGCAGACCACTACCAAAGTTCTAGTCTGTCTCCCAGAATCAGCATTACTGCAGTAGCATGGTGTTGAACAATACTTCAGCAAATGTGATTAGTCTAGCTGCAGTGGCAGTCTTGTGGTCCTGTAGCTAGACACAGAGATGTCTCAGCTCCGTGCTTCCTCACTCCCGGTCATTTTTAAGTGCTTCTTTCAGTTTCTTATATTAAATAGATATAAATTTCATGCACTGTAGTGAAGTACACAACTACTTCTTGAAAGATAGGTGACACCAATAAATACATTTCTCCAGTCCCAATGGTTTGAAAAACAAGATGTAATTTCACAATTTGTTTTTAAGATAGCAAATTCTGGGGACTTTGCTATTTTCCAGTTGATTTTCCACTGTCAATTCCAATTGTGAGGAAGTACAAAAGTAACATTTAGGAGGGAAGGAAAGATCTAAACAAGTGGAATGAAAGACAGTCTTTATTTTGCAAACATACTTGCATGTACTTATGAAATTAAATAACCAGTGAAGATATTTGAGGTAGTTTTGTGGGCTTTGAAGGTTTTGATGAAGTCAAATGTTTTCCCAGCCTGTCTTATATGAAAGCAACAGGCACTTTTCATATCAACCTGTGCTACAGCAAGTGCATTTCACCAAGATAAATTATGTGTTTTATCCCCAAATTCAATGCATGAATATGCATCAAAATATTCTTATTGTCAGAGCAGAGAAAGGAGGGAATGTGATTAAGATTTGTTACAAGGTTGGCAAGACCAGGGTAAGATATAGCTTGCATACATCAGGAGACCAGAGGTGACAGGTCTTCAGCTTGGAAAGAGAGAGAGATAGATGAGCAGGGTTAAAAAAGTCTACAGTGTGGCATGAAAGAGATTACTGAAAAATGATTACCAATGCCACAAAACAAGATCTGGAAAGCACAAAATTAATTCATCAGACAACAAGTCCATGACAAATAAAAGGAAGTTGCTTTACACAGCACAAAATTAGAATATTAATTAGTACGCAGAGTAATGACCACAAAACTGTGGGGACAACAAAATTGTAAAGATGCTGAAAGAGACATTTGGAAAACATAAGTCTGCAGGTCTTTAAAGACAGTGGTCCAGTTGCTTTTCAAGTTAAGATGGCCTCAGGAGAACAATGGTATCTCTCCCTTGGAGCACAGCTCCACTTCAGGAGCTACTACACCTGGAATTAATAATACATGGTGAGCCACATCTTCCTTACTCATATAGTTCTTAATCAGATGGCAACCAGTTCAATCAGCAGCAGACTCTATGCTGAATACATCCCCCATTCCCCATCCCTGTTTGCTCCTTTCTCACTTGAACTACTGCTGGAAGATCAGCTGGGATGCTTTAACAGTCCTTCAGGGAGCTAGGTGACAATGCTTTTTTTTGCTATATGGGAAAAGGATGATTTGGAATTAAACAAGTGGATACAGAGAAATGGTGCAGTTAGAGTGAGGGGAAGTGTTCACATGCTTTGACTGAGCATGAACAAAAAACAGAATTCCAGGGAAAAGGACCCACCTCACAAAAATTACTCTCAGCTGTTTGCTCTGCAAAGGATGGCTTACTGCTGAGATTTATAGAGAACAAGAGAAGAAGCTTCTCCCAAGAGGATGATTATAACTATCTGCTCATTGTCTGAAACTTACTTGGTTCTTGGCCTTCACTTCTGGTGGAATTGCAATCTAACATTCAGCAACACAACAAATGGATGATGCTACCATCAACTATGACTCTTGGCCATCAAGGCCAGTTATTCATTGTGACCACAGAGAATAGATAAGAGGGTGATAGATAACATTACACTGAATTTTTAAATAAACAGAAGCTATCTGCTCTCTTTCTCCCCAGCAACACTTTCAAGGTTGCTTTCATGAATCCAAAAATGTGCCAACAAGATATTTACTCTTGCTCACAAAAATAGTTTTATCAAAATTCTCATGTGGGACTATTACTACAAATATATCCCATGAGGAGAATTCACTGTAAGTAGGACACAGAGGAAGAAATCTCACTTGCAATTTCAGCTGTGGTATCTGTTTCACACCGTCAACACTTTTAACTCCAGAAAGCTGTGTATGTTCAAAAGTCAAGAGCATGTTCTTTCCTTTCCAGTAAGAGACTTTCACAGAAATATAAGGGAATAGTTTTATCATTTTGGGTTACAATTCTCAGTGCCAAAGGGCTATGTTTTTAGGGCAGAGACAAGATGGTGTGATGAAAACATTCAGTCCTTTTTAACATGTAATATTGATACTTCAGAGAACAAAAATATAGGACTGATCACAAAAACTGAACTAGGTCAGCAGCGTTTCTTCTCCTCTCAAAACTCTCTTGAATGTTGCCAGCTGGAAACTCAGGGTATGTTATGCCACAGCAACTGCAGAATAATTTTGTAGCCTGTAATTGTGTCTTAATTCTCACTCTTGTTCTAGAGGTATGCTAATATTGTGTGAGAGCAGCCACAGAAAGTATTTTGGTGGTACCTGTGACAGCTAGTTATCACGTTTCACAACTGCATCCTGTTTTACACTGTAATGAATAAAGGTAATTTCACAAGTGTAGGAGAAAAGTTTATTCTCTTCCCTGACCAGTAAACTGCATTGGAAAAACATTTGCAGGATTATCTAGGTATACTATCAACAATAATGGCATTTATGTGTAATGTTTATTGCTTTGTTCTGTTTCTATATGCATGGATAATATATAAAATAAGACATATTTCTAAAGTGTTAAAAAGAGAAACATAAACAATCAATTTTGTTTTCATGCTGGAGCCCTGAAGTAAGTTTCCAAAGGCACAAATGGCAGGCCACGTCACATTTGTGCCTTTAAAAAATCTGCAGCTTTGGATTACAAAAGACCAAAATTAAATCTAAAGGCTTTGATACTAATACCATTTTTACACAGACACTGTAAAAAACACTGCAAAGATGTGCAGTGTTCAAAGTGATGTCTACTTATTACAGAGTATGTGCAGCTCATAAAAACGTATTCACTTAATTCATAACAGAAAGTACTTATGGACCTGCGCTGCTCCACACAAAGGAATAGACTTGCTAAAGAATTTGCAAATGAGGAGTGGTAAAACTGTGTGAGGTACATAACCTTTGAGGACCCTGATATCTTGTTTGGCATAAGTAACCACCATGCCACAGAGGTATTCCAGTGTCACCCTCTTTTATCATCTATGCAGGAAGAAAAAGCTAGTCCAAATAGATCATAACACGCTTAAGCCTCAGATTGTTGCCTTTTTTGCAACCTGGAAATGAAACTCGTGGTAATTTTAGTAAGGAGGTAATATAAAAGGCAATCTTCATTTGAAGGTTTTTAGAGGCAGTTATGGAAAGATGTCCACAAAACCCACCCCTGCCAGGGATGAATACATATTTATAGGTTTTAGGAAATTAACATAATTGATAAAAAGCACCAATTAGGAGGACAAGTGGTGATGCAATTCCCCCCCAGGTCAAGCCTTTTCTCTGGAGCCCCCTGTTCAGCACAAGCTGTACTTTGTCCATTAAATGTATCTTGAAGAGTTGTTCTCCCAGGATGAACCAAGGTAGTACAGAGTCTTCTACCTCCCAGGGCTTGGAGCTCTGGAATTTATTTTGTCTTTCTGCTTAAGGAAAGGCCATGGGAAAGTACTGGGAAAACTAGCCACTAATACAATAGGTGACAGAGTTACAAACTTAAGTGTGAAGAATACAGAGAACATATAAAGAAAAAAAAGGCAAAACCCAAACAGCATCAAAATCTGTGAGTAACAACAGCAAGGTCCACAATATAGCACTTTTTTATTTTCTATTATTTCCAAATATGCTAGGAAGGCTGATTGATAAAACTGTATGAAGTAAACTATCAAATAATTGAGGTGGTTTTTGAGAAGAGATACTGATTATTATCACAGTCATTCTTATTATTAGTTGTACAAATATATAATGTATAAATTCTTGTTATCGATTATAATTATTCAGTTATCAGTGCAGCTCTTTGTGCCCAAATTGTTGACTTTTTTATGGGTGTCATGAAGGCAAACAGGTTATAGCACACTCAGCAAGAAGACAAGTATTTACAGTGCATCTAACACCCACCCAAAAACATCCATGCAGATAAATAACCACAATCTTATATTACAATAGTACATTAGAATTGACTCAGCCCTAAAATAGATCTCCTCTGGCACTGGAGGTGACAGTAGCTGTGGAGTCAGCCTGCACCTTCTCTGAGCTCTGCAGATGAGGAGTGTGCATGCTCTGGGAGGAAGACCTGAAGCAGATGGGGGAAGGCAGCACTTCCTTTACAATGAAAATGCACACATGCCCTAGCATAAATTTGGCAACAATGTCCTAACTTGTGGTTCACATAACTACAGTCATCTCAGGAGAAACAGAGAAAAATAAATAAGGCTTAGAAACTGACCTGTTTTTCATTTTCATCCTCCAGTCTCAGCCTGTCCTCAATGCAGTTCCTGGCCTGAAGGAATGCCTTCCTCTGAGCCCTTTCTGTCAAAATCCTCACAAAGACCCCATACAAATTTACACTGACAAAAAGGATTGCATTGGCCACAAGCTGTAAGAAAGAAAGAAAAATAAATGAATATTTTAAAATACAGATTTTTATTTTATATTTCTGCTCAGCGAAGATATATTGAAAAAAAACTGTTTGAAAGCTGTGCCTTGCTAGCCACATCACTGATACCCCTTCCTGCAGTGAAACAATTACAGCAGCTATCACAAATCTGGACAAGCAATATTGCATAATACAGAATCTGCTGGAGTTAATTTCTTTTACAATGATCTGTGGCTTGTAATCTTCATTCACCTTCATTTCTTTCATCAGCCCATTGACAGATCTGTCCGTCTAATAATGAGAGCAATATCATCAGGATTTGTTCAAAACAAATCAGAAAACTGAAATTGTTTTCCTATGCCTTCATAAAGTAAGTATATTATTGTTCCTTTTTTAATAGTGGAGAGGAAGGGCACTGAAAAACCTATGACTGCAGAAAATGTGTGCCTAGGTACCCCAAGCTTTCATATTGTATTTTCATATTGTACTTGAATTTGTATAATCTGTTTCCTTATCCACTGTCAGCAACCATACTGTACTTTTTGGGAAATCATCCAAAATATCATTGATTCTATCCTGCAGCAGACCTCTCAGAAGGTGCTGAGTCCTTTCAAATGATGGTCCTCAGCACAAGCCAAGGCCCACCATTATGCAATAATCAGCGACAATTAATCACTTTGGAACTACTTCTATAAACAGTGCTTTTATGAAGGACACAAAAATTACTCAACTGCTCTTCTGGGTTTTTTAAATGTTATAACAATATGTGATAAAGTTACTTAAGTAACATAAATAACAGAACAGTGGTTTGTACACAACCTCCCTATCAAAGGTAATTCTATCCAAGTTTCTCACCACATCTCTGAAACGTCCTCAGATTATAATTTCTGCAATGCAATGTGGTTTTAGTTAACAGGAAATAGCACCTTTTTACCCAGTGTCTTTTCAGTCACAGTATCCTTATATACCCTAGAGCCTACCACAAGATCATGATAAGGATTCATGGGACTCACAAATTCCCAAAAATAAGAAGTGAGCTGGTATTTAATTGGCCAAGAGTGAGCAAAATAAGAGCAAAGAAAGACATTATAGCAAGTAACACAATTCACATTAAGTTCCTATCCATCTGAAATGGTTCAAAAACCCCAAATAACTGACATTTGTTTCCTAATCCAAGGGATACATTTCAAGGTAGTACACCTCTACTGTTGCATGATCTACTAGTGTTAATTGGAGAGGACACCATTTCTTTTCTTTGCACACTATAATGAATCAAAGTGTGCCAACAACAAAATCAAATTTAAAGGAAAATAAAACCACTGATTTTGTTTTGTGTAGAGAAATGCTTCCTAACAGGACTAGGGTTGAAGGTTTTATGGTAAGCCAATATACCAATATGGTAAACAAAGATCTGAAATTACATCCCTGATGTTTTTGGAGAGACTTCGAGAAACGTTCCATTCTACAAAAAATAAGCAGGAAAATTCTAATGTGCAGAGCTAAAGGTAATAAACATCCCACCTCTCTTGACCTCACAATAATGGGAAGAATTGAAAGACTTATTCTGGGTCAGTTTTCCAGACCTTCATGGATTCACAAGACCTCCAACTTGTACCTTCAAAACCTGATTATTATTATTTAGGAGGACACCAATGATAAATTCCCTTCAAACCTTCTCATCAGCACAAAATCCAAAGATAACCTGTCATAATAAAAGGAGTTGTGCTTAGCATTAGTAGTATTTTTCCCCAGTTATCAAAAAAGAAACAATTATTTCACAAGAGATAAAAGAAGTGAAGAATGGTGTTATGGCTTCCTCTTGAGAATGGCAAAACACGGGTTCAGCTGCATTCAGATGAATTTTAATGTAACAATCTCATATACCACTTACTTATATGCTACTTCTGATGGTAACACAAATAGTAAAACTTTGAAGATGAAATGCATCTATTGCAGCATATTATTTCACGACACAGGTTGAGCATAGTCTGCAATTCCTATTCTGCTTTATTTTGCTTGATCACAGAGAACTGTTTGAGATACATCAATTTTTATCACAAGTTAACACCTACTAAAATGAAATGACTGTAGAAATTCCCGTGGAATCCTATTTTTAGAGACATTAATACAGCCACAAATGCAGCACATATCCTTGCATTTTATCATGCCAAAATATTGTGACAACATTGTATTTTAAAGCTAATTCTTACAGTGCAATGGTATAAAAATAGAAAGGATTTTTAAAGGTTGTATTCAAAGACAGCGAAGAGAGCCCACTGAATGAGCAGAGCTGACAGTTACAGACAGTGCAACTACTTGACCCTGTCCATATACAAAACAGCTGGGAACAACACAGGGTGAAAAACTGTCTTTTTCTGCTGATATCAGAGTGGCTCAAGACATAAATAATTACATCTATGATAAAAAAAAAAAAAAAGGTCAGTTGTGTTTCTGGATTTCAACTGGAAACAGTAAAAGACCGTGTATTCTAACAATCTGCCAGCTGTTCTGGGACTATCATTATGATTTCACTGAAGCAACAGTGATCACCTGGTCTAGGGGTAACCAGTAGGTGGGTTCCTGCTACTTTCAGGCTCAGCAGGGTAAGTCATTTTCTGACATGCTTTGAACAGTTTAAGATAAAACAGAGGCTTAGCTGTCAGCTCTGGCCCGCAGGGAATCAGGAAAGTGATAAAGCAAGTAAAAGATTCATAGATTTCAAAATGTGAGAAAAGGAAGTAGGGCAGATTGTCTCCTGAGGTAAGAGCTCCTTTCCTCCACAACCTGTTTCTACTTAATTACTATTTTTCCCCCAATTGCAACTAAATACTAGCCCTTCTCTCTAGGTTTCTCAAATGTGTGCCATTTTCCAGACCTTTCATTTTAATATGTACCTCCATATCTACACTCATAAATACATATTTTATATATACACACACACACACACACACACACACACATATCTTTCATACATTATGTCCCATAATTCCAGGAAAGATTGTGAGACTTGCTGTTAAAACTAAGGAATATTGAAGAGGTACTAAGGCATTCAGAGCTGCTGAAATATCAAGGGTTTCAATTTTAGGTCGTTACTACATTATTTACTATACTACTGCTTAGAAGGAAAAAAAAAGCGATCTTCAGGTTTCACCATCTATTTATAGAACCACCAAAAAAAACAATTTACTTGATGCAACATAAAATGATTCCAAGACTATTTTAAACTTTTAAACAATGTTACTCTTTCAATCCATAATGAGATTACAGTTCAGCCAGAGCAAAAAAAAAAAAAAAAGCAATCAGGGTCATGAAAGCATGTTTCCAAAATGATTATTTTTTGTCTCTATTAGTGGATCTTGTTTGCTGCCTGTAGCAGCATTTCAGTATGAACATGAATCCTTTGAGATTCTCTAGTCCTTAGTAGGTTACAGTCCCTGTCAGTGGATAAATTCTGGCATGGTTACTTGTGTGAGGGTGCTACCAAAGGCAGACTTCCAATGCAGATAATCTTTGTGAGATGCCGAGGGGCTTGAGCAGCTGTTTCAACCAAATGTCTCTCTCTCTGTGTCCTGTTTATTTCTCCATTGCATTTTTTTGGACCTCAACTCACTTTTGGAAGGGATCTTGAACTGTGCAATACAGCAACACCCATCAAGGAGTGAGCAAATAATTCTAGCAGTAGACATACGTAACATGCATATACAGGGCTTGAGGAGTTTAATTAAAGACCTCCTTTTTTTCCTCAGATTCATCTCCCTCTTCTCGAGTCCCACAGGATTAGCTGAGAGACTCTTTGAAGAGTCTTTTGAAACTTTTTTCCCTGTTCCAGATAGGATTTTTTCTCTCCTTTTTCTTTCAAAACTAGAATGCTCACATGTGCATTCATGGGCGCACTTGCTTCTTCTCAAATAAATGGTGAAAAAATTTTTCTATATATTATTTTCCTTTGAAGAAGACTCTGTTTACTCAGCAGATGCTCTGTTATCAGGTAAACAGTTGCATAGTAGATGGTTCAAAATTAAAGCAGATTTTCACTGCAGAGTAGCTTCCTGTTTGTACTAAAAAATTGTCTCAGAAAAATGTGGTTGTTTCACAAAGGTGTAAGTGACTTCTGGATCACAGAGAACTTTTTTTACAAAGTGGTATTCATATAGATGATTACTGAAGTGCCCAAATAATCATAGGCTAAATAAGAAAGGAAGGAAATTTCAGGAGACTCACTCAGAATTATATTGTGCTTTCTAAAAGGTGGAGTTGTGTTGTAAGTAGGATTTCAATAGTTACCAATCCAAAAATTATAATTTAGTGGCTAATATCAATATTTGATTTATTCTCAGAAGCATGAGTTCTGATGACAACCCATGAAATAGAGTACAACATGTAGGAGATATGGCCAACATTTCCATATGAAAATTGAAATTTCCTGGAAAAGGAAGGATCAATGCAATTCCCATATAACTTAATCCTTAGATACCTGATAAGAGGTATGGTAGGTCTAAACTCTACTTTCAGTTTTCTCCATTAATTAAATTTTTCTGCAAGTAATTTCTGTGCCAGTTTTTGTTCCTGTTAGGATAATGCAATATTTACTCATTCTGTCAAAATACTTTGAGATATGGCAATGCAATGTATTACTTTAAAATATGAGTGTTTATTGTGCAGGATGTCTAAAGAAGTTGTTAACAGCCTACAAAAATGAGTCAGTGCTTCTATCATTAAAACCCTTGAAAAGCAAGGCAAGACTGTGCTCTTTATAAAAATTATTGGTATCATGAACAAGAGTTGAAACAAAAATAGTTTTTCCTGTTATGGAAAATACTACCATTAGAGCATTGCTTTATTTACAGTGCTAGACTGTACTGAGAATACACAACCAGCTCTTGATTCTGACATGGTTTTCTTAAGTTCAGAAATTCATTTAGTCAACTCACTTCGAAACATTTTGAGCATGATTAATTACTAAATCTGCTCCCTCTAATTGCTGAAGTAGTGTAAGGGAGGAAAGAGAACTTCCCCTTAGTTCCTGACAGTGTCCCAAAAAGAACACCCTCCTACCAAAGGAGGCAGCTAAACATTTTTTCTCCAAATAAACATATTCCCATTTTGAATGAACATCCCTCTATTATTTTTGTAAAGTTTTGGTTGCTGCTGGCTTATGACATGCTAAGGAAATGTGGTTCTGCTGTGCAATTCACCATAGTTTCTGTGTTCATTGGTAACCTCCTGAATCTACAGCATACTCTAAAAGGAGATTAGTGAGCAGTCGTTTCAGTGATAATGAGTGCAGATGTCACTCTTGAGGAAAACACTGTAGCACTGGGATGCCTATAACCATATAAGTAAAGAGAATTTTTTATGATATCTAGGATGCCAAGTTCACTAACCACAGCCAGTTTTTCTGAAGCGTACACACGCATGTGGAACTGCAGAAATCCCCTCTGTGTGCATACCTGTTTGACCAAAGTAAAAGACATAATTTAAAAACATTGTTTAAAGTACATGCCATGCACCTTTGATAAGGAAGTTCCCTCTACAAAAGCAGAGTCACTGAGAGCCACCAAACATACCAGTCTTAAAAATGTCACTTGTTCCATCTTTCTCCAAATGATAGGCCATTTTAGCTTGGAAGCATGCTCTGGGAGGAAAGTTAATGCACCTCCCTCTCATGTTATAGACTGTTGGCTGTTTGCCTTGTCCAAAGTATTTACCTCTGAGATTAAGTAGCAGAGAATTATGATGGAATAGCAGAAGTAGAGTTGATTGAATCATAAATTTTGAATCTTAAACCTTATCTAACACTGAAACTTAAACAAATTTCTGATAAATGTAGCCAAGGTTATGTAAGACACCAAATATTTATTTTGACAAAGTTGCAAAGTGGCAGCTTTCTCCTCGTCAATACCTTCACTCAAATATATGACACGAATCTATGACATTAATTTCAGCCTCCTTTTTTCAGGATTCTTAAATCCTGTGTTTTTTAGGGAATTTCTGAAAGGAACTCACAATTTAATCATTTATACCTTTCCCAATAGCAATGTATTAAATCTTTATTTTGAGGTACCAAGGCTTCTGGGCTTTGATTTTTCGGTTCTGTGGGTATTTTTGTTTGTTTGTTTTCTTTGTGGGTTTGTTTGTGTTTTGTTTTGTTTCTTGTGGGTTTTTTTGTTTTGTTTTGGGGGTTGTTGTTTGTTTGGTTTTGGGTGGGGGTTTTTGTTTATTGTTTGGGTTTTTTATGGTTTTTTTGTTGTTGTTTTTGGGAGGTTATATTATTTAGTTGTTTTCTTGTTAAAAAGACAGAAAGCAGCACTTAAGCACAAGAACTTTTGTTCTTTTCTGCTTTTTTTAATGAAGAATGAAACCTGATTTTTAAGGAATTGGAAAAATTCAATACAAAAGACTTACAGGTAACCCATAACAGAGCAGTGATATGTGAAATTTTAGAAAAAAAGAAATAAAGGACTGGATGGAAAATACAAGCTGAAATACCTTTAAGCATAACTGCTAAATTACTTCAAACCTTTCCAAATAATGAATGACTTCATAAAAGCTGTACTTCTGGGAAAAAAGAAAAAAGACCAAAACACACAGCAATATTCTTTTACAAATGGTTGGCAAAATTGCAACAGTACAGCTTGAAACTTGCCAAAGGTATAGTTATTTCTCTTGGTCTCATATTTATATGCACAAGCCCAACTGATGTTAGTAGGGACAATCTTCCCATATATCAAACTAGAACTTTAGATAGGTAACTGGAGGTTACTTCTACATAGAGAAAAACTCTCTCCGAAGCCCACAGTAGTGGGGCTATTCAGAAGAGAATATCTGAAGAATATTACCTGTGAGGGGAAAAATAATTTCTGGGTAGACAGGAGAACTGGCTTTCCACAGTTTTTCGGTATATGAGAGGCTATGAATGCCTCTCAGAGAAGATATTGACAGATGTGATACCTCAGCTGTAACTTTCTCTTGCTCATATTGTGCACTGCATTCAGAGTGTGTAACAGGTTTCAGCAAAACACATACCTTAAATGCAATGATATGGTCACAGTCACTTCCATCTGTGGAAGGATGATGCAATGAGCTATCCAGAAAAATGCCAAAATATTCTTGCCACTGCCTTACACATCACATCCCAAGTATTTCTTAGTTCTGAAATGGTACAGGCAAATGTTACTTGACATGGTTTAGGAGTGGGATTCCCCAATTCAGTGCTCTCACCGAAACACTCCAAACCATGTGAAAATACTCCAAGCCGTGTGCAAGCTCTCTCGCTCCCTCCCTCCTTCTCCCTTCCCGTTCCTCTCTTTCACTTCCCGTCCTCCTGTCCTCCTGCAGCAGCTGGAGAGGAGAATTGGACAAAAGGCAAAGATCATTGGTAGAGATAAGAACAATTTACCAGAAACAGCAATGAAATAAGCAAGGTAACAGCGCCAATATCATTGACAGAGTACACAGGAGAGGCAAATGATTCACAGGCAATTGTTCACCACCAGCAATACCCTTCTCCTGCCCCTGGATATGATGGGGGGTGGTATAGGATAACCTCTGGGTCCCAGCCATGCTGCTAGAGGCTACTGCAAACATTAACCCTGTCCTAGCTGGAACCAGAGCAGTTATATTTCCTGATTTAGCTGTTGCATTCTCTTGCAGTGTCTTTTATGCCATCACAGAACGAATAAGCCCTCAGTTCTTCAGTATACTGCAAGTGTACTAGTATGCACTTCTGTACACTGGGAGTTTGCTATGTGTTTGGGTTT